TCTTTTATATTTTCGTCACTCAGCTCAATCGGACAGCCTAAACCGGCACCCAACGGAACTAACCGACTCGTGGCGAAAGAGACCGAAGACTTCGACCAGCACGCTCAGCTCGGATGGACCCAGCTCAGGTCTTCGTGGGATCTTTTGGCCCGGGCCCCAGCACTACTAGGAGCAAGGGCATCGCTACTAGGACCTAGGAGCAAGGACGCTACTAGGTGGAGGCCATCGCTAGTAGGTTGGAGGCCAGCGCTATTAGGAGCAAGGACGCAACCAGTAGCTCCTGGCATTACTACTAGGAGCAAGAAGCTACCAGCGCCCCAGCCATGCCGCTTGGCACCACGGCATGCTTTGTCAGTTACATCGAGGCTTCAACTGCTATGCATCTGGATGGCCCTTGTTTTGTGGCGAGGGCTTCTGGGGCTTCCTCCCGGGCTTGTTCATGATCCTTTTCTTCTTGGGAGCGTCCTTGGCTGCAGGAGATTTAACGACTAATTAGCTACCTCGCTGGGCTGACGCTGCCTGGACTGACTTGATTAGGCTTCGAGGGGCAAAAGGCTCACAAGACATCACTAATTAATGCCTCAGAATCTGCCATCCTGTTGGACGAGCAGGTGATTTCACGATGGCATCCTCCAACCGAAACGAACCATCCTCGGCTGAGGCGATTGAATTTGCCTTGCTGTGGTTTTGCGTGCTCCAGTGCACCGGCTGTTTCACCGACTGTTGCGGATCGTCCCCCACGCTGATGCGGATAGTCCTTGGAAGGAGGAGTCACTTGGCTAATGACCAGTGGCGGAGATCTATAAAACCATAGTTGAGCACCACAAGAAACCTCCCAAGATGAACTAAGTAAAGGCCTTGTCATATGGAACTTGGGCGTAAGCAAAAACCTGAAAAGCGTAAGGTTGCGTAAGGGAGTTGTGAGACATGCATGTTGCGTAAGCATGCCATAGGGTTGTGTTTTCATTAGTAGGTTCTTAGCACACGCTTGTCAAGAAAGGAACTGTGGACCATGAGAGATTTGAAACCCTTGAAAACAAACATTTGTGTGCACTGTGTGTTCAGGTGTGTGCACTGTGCTTGTTTGTGTTTGCCACTCTGTATCAAACCTTTCTCAAGTCAGCCCATCATAACATGTCATAGCATGCCAGGCTCCGTTTGGTGAGGGTTTGGTGGCGTAAGGTTCGCGTAAGGTTCGCGTAAGCCAACTTTTCATTTGCCCACCCTAGCCCACGGCAGCCGGTAAGTAGATGCTAGTGATCCTCTGCTTCCTTTGCTTCGGAGTCTTAGTGATCATGTGTTTGTCGCCCGCTCACCTGCAAAAAGGATCCTTTGCGTAAGCATTTCCCTTGGGAGCATGGTTCTCATCTGTGAAAATACAGAAGCATAAGATCTGTGTAAGGTCTTCTTCAACATCCGTGGCGCGAAAGCTCACATTGTGGTCGCGTAAGAAAAGCGCAAGCAGGAGCGTAAGAACGTTATGCGACATAGGGGTTTAATCATACGTATTTTGCAGAGCTCAGTTGAGGATAGTTGAGGTGGGCAAAGGAGTAAGGTTGAGCAGTAGCGTACGGAAGCATTCTTCCTCTGAATGCTCTCTCTAGTGTGCGCTTCAAACAACAACGTGCATGCAAGGCAACTTGTTACTAGTAGCTTCTTGTTACTAGTAGTAATGCCAGGAGCTACTTAGTAGCTTCTTGTTACCAGTAGCGATGCACTTGTTACTAGTAATAGCTTCTTGTTACTGCGTAGTAGTAAGGCCAGGAGCTACAAGTAGCTTCACTAACTAGTAGCTCCTTGTTACTAGCAGAAAGGTGCCTTGTCGCTACTAGCTTCTTGTTACTAGCAGTAATGCCAGGAGCTAGTACTAGCTTCTTGTCACTAGTAGCGATGCACTTGTCAATACTAGCCGCTTCTTGTTACTAGTAGTAATGCCAGGAGCTACTAGCAGCTTCTTGTTACAAGTAGCGATGCACTTGTTACTGCTAGCTTCCTGTTACTAGTAGCAATGCCAGGAGCTACTAGTAGCTTCTCGTTACTAGTAGCCATGCCCTTGTTACTAGTAGCGATGCCCTCAGCTACTAGTAGCTTCTTGTTACTAGTAGCCATGCCCTTGTTACGAGTAGCGATGCACTTGTTACTAGTAGCGATGCCGTTAGCTACTAGTAGCTTTTTTTGCTACTACTGGTAGTAATGCCAGGAGCTACTAGTAGCTTCTTGTTACTCGTAGTAATGCCTTGTCACTAGTAGCGATGCACGTGCTACTAGTAGCGATGCCCGTTACTAGTAGCTTCTTGCCACTACTAGTACTGCCAGGGGCCACTAGTAGCTTCTTGTTTCTAGCAGTGCTGCCCTTAGCTATACTAGTAGCTTCTTGCTACTACTAGTAGTGCCAGGAGCTACTAGTAGCTTTTTGTTACTAGTAGTCATGCCCATCTTACTAGCAGCGATGCACTTGTTACAAGTAGCGGTGTCCTTAGCTACTGGTAGCTTCTTGCTACTACTTGTAATTGTAATGCCAGGAGCTACTAGTAGCTTCTTGTTACTAGTGGTAATGTCCTTGCTACTAGTAGTGATGCACTTGTTACTAGTAGGGATGCCCTTTTCTACTAGTAGCTTCTTGTTACTAGTCGTAATGCCCTCGTTGCTAGTAGCGATGCACTTAGACTTGTTACTAGTAGCGATGCCCTCAGCTACTAGTAGCTTCTTGCTACTAGTAATGCCAGGAGCTACTAGTGGCTTCTTGTTACTAGTAGTAATGCCCCTGTTACTAGTAGCGGTGCACTTGTTACTAGTAGCGATGCCCTTAGCTACAAGAAGCAGTAATGCCCCTGTTCCTAGTTGCGATGCACTTGTTACTAGTAGTTGATCAGTTTCGTTCAGTTTTGCTCCCTGGAGGCCCACCGCAAGTGCAAACGACACCCACGACGCTTGGATGAATTTTGGGGAATACCCTGTGGCTCTAGTAGCCGATGGATACTTGGTGAGGTGATGGGTGCCTGTAGGCCCATTGAGGAATCAAGGGCATCAAGGGTGCGTAGAAAGGCCTTTGTTGGTCAAGATGGTCCAAGAGGACGGTGACGGGAGTTGGATGATGGGAAGGATGTTTGCCATGTGGAAGCAACCATGGTTTGTAGGCTAGGGAAGTTTTTGATCTGGAATGGCAGCCCAAAATGATAGCAAAACATGCCTTTGCCACCGCACTCCAGTTCCAAGCCATGTCCTTGGCAGGGTCGTTGGACATCCAGTAGTTCAGCAATCCATGCCGCAAGCGAATGCAGCGCAGGCAGGGTACCCAGCATGAATTTGGGTGCCCAGCGTGCATCAGCTGGTTTAGGTCTACGGTATACCTGACAATCTGTCCCAGCAGCTTTCATCAAGTTGATCTAGAGTGTGTGGCAGTCCAAAATCTGTAGAGGCAAACCAAGACAAATTTGATCAACTCACTGATGTGCAACCAGCAGGCATATCCATTTGATGGTTGCATGGCAAGCGCCTTGGGTGTGCCTCCTAGCATCCACAGGATACGTTTTTGCATACCTTTTAGGTCACATGTCGTTCAAGCATATATTACTGTATATATATATATTATACATACATATTTAGATATTTTGTATTTAAGTTTCTATATGTTTTCCGCATCCTTCCCAGCTGATCACATCCTCCATTACCAAACCGGCCAGGCCTTATACGTCCCGGCTCAGCCGGGACCCTCGGCTCAGCCGGCCTCAAGAGCGCCGGCACCACCAGTGCAAGCTACGCTGGTGGAGGAGCCCTCCAAGCCTGGACCCACAGCAGCACAGCAGGCGACTCAGGTCGCTGGAGCGGCAATGGATTTGGGGAAGGCCGGGTTGAAGATCCTTGGCACATTGGAACAGTTGCATTTGGCATTTTGGGGGGACAATGGTGCTTTATAGATATGATTTTGATCATATGGGTGCAGTCGACACGCATGCCAAATGGGTTTGGCTGGAACATCTTGGACTTTTGTGATTCGACAGTTTGCTCCTGGATTTGTGAACATATTGCAATGTGGCAATTATTTGCAAAGGCCTGCTGCTGTTTCCCTGACCTGAGGCCTGAGAAATCGCAAACAACATGTACACATGAACAGGAACAGTTTCCGAGAATGTTCTACCAATTTCTGGGTCACTCTACGTATTGGTCGTTTTCTTGGGGTGGATGGTCCGTGCAATCTCCATGCACTAAGGAAAGTGGGAGGTTGGCTTCGTAAATGAGCGCCCTCTTGAGGGCCTGGTTGGTGGAAATGCGATCAGAAGTCCGGATTGCAGAGGTAAGGACTGGAGCCCACCCTACGCACAAGGGTTTCCTTCAACAAACCCATTTTTGAGCCCGTTTTTCATGGGTTCTCCTCACGAAGCTGTGGAGATGTCATTGCTGGGTGAAGAGGCACGCCAAGGTCAGTCCAATTGAGCAAAGCTAGCTCACAGAAAATGTGTGTACTCCAGGGATGCCTTGAGACTTCTGTTTTGCATTTCGAGCTTTAACAATTGGAGGTTTGATGTGATCTCCGTCCACCGGCCAACAGGGCCGGTATCTGGTAAAGCCAGGACCAGACTCGGCAAGGGCCGTGCATCGAGTAAAAACGAAAGGCCATCACGGATCCCTTAAGCTTCTCAAATGAAATTCCTTGAGCCTCACCACGCAGCGTGGTGGAAATGGACCGAACAGCCCCAGATGGCCTACGGGGAGATCTTGTGGAGTTGAGAGTCTGGAAATTCCATCGGACATGCATGATTGTCATGTTACTGGCTGGCAGCATTTGGATTTCAACTTCTACTCGCATGAGTTTAGAGTGCCGGTGCAAGTCCAGTCTCTTATATATAATGTATAATATATATATATATATGTACAATCATATATAACATATATGTCAATGTTAGACATTTTTACAACATGTTGTATTCATGACTCATGCCATTAAGCTTTAAACTGACCGTGTGACTCGAACCTCTGACCCAGTCTTCGTGATTGCTTAGGTTTGCTGGAACTTTGGCCACGTCAAGGCGAGGGGCTGTGGGTCAGGCTTCCAGAAAGGAAGGTGTTTCGACCCTTCTGGTTCAGAAAGGCCATTTGTTCATTTGTGACGGTTTGGGGGTAAGTTGGGTTGGTTTGGCGTGGAAAGCTTAATCGTCATGTTCATTCATGCCTTACCACTGGTACTTCCTTTGTGCTGAGAAATCCTTTAGGCCTTATAGCTTGATTCAAGGTCTTCGGAGTTCGGTTGCGCAAGGCTGAAGTTGATCAGCTTCTTCAGCATGACACCTCTGCAAGTACCAGTGATGTACCGGATGTCCATTCGGGCAGCTTGGATGTTCAAACTGAAGGAAACACCATGGTAGCCTAATTATGAATGTGCAGTTTTGCCACATTTTGGCCTGAGAAGTAAGTGATCTACAGTTAGACCGAGTTAGACAAAGGGTGGAAGGTCCGGTACGGGGCCTGAATTCCATAGAGATGCCCAGCCAACTGGAATCCAAGGATGTTTTGTTGCATGACAGCACGATGGATCCCTTTGTGAGTTTGCGGGGGGGGGGGCGTTTTGGGATTTCTTTAGCCCAGCTGAGGATGGCTTCACCGGCCCCTTAGCAGCATGACTGATATGACTGTCCTGGCCAGAGCCTTTCGTGTTGAGGCACGCATGAGCTGAGGACTGTGATGCAAGTGGAGAAGGCATTGCTCAGACGATTGGAAGGATCTCAGGCCTGCGTTAGGCTAACTGCGTGCGGAGTAGCATTAGAGTCCAGGCAAGTTCGGCGTGAAAAACTGCCCAGACACCCTGTTCAGGAGGAGCCCCAAGAAGGTGCTGCGCTGGAGTGGCTTGGCAGACGTCACCGAGAAATGCAAGTGGGATTCATCCGTTTAGTCAGTACGAGATGATGAGTGTAGGTAGGTGTGTGTGTGTGTCCCAGTGTTGCAACCAGCAGCCAAGTGGGGTGCAGACAATGACCCGGTTGCTGGGATGGTTCCCTCCAGAAACTGACCTCATGCACTGATTTCCTTGCAGACACGAGCAAGCTCGCTCCAGGGTGACTAGCCGTGACTAGCCTTCGTCGAATGCAAAAACGTCGTTGGCAGGTATGAAGATGTATGAGGCATCGGTCTCGCAAACAAGGCTTTCCAACGTGTTTTTTCTCTCCTGAAATTTATGCATGCCCCAACTCAGGCTTTTGCGTGGGGTGCGAAGCAGTCCAGGCCCTGGACGAACGAGCAAGAGTGGAACGCAAGACTGTCGGTCAAGCAGCAAACAGTGGCCTAGCGGGTTCATATGCTTGGGCTTGAAATTTTTGGCTTTCAGGTAAGCAGTGCAATATGACCCAGCTATGGATGTAATTGCCAGGGATGTAGTTCTCGAAAATTCAGGATGATTTCCAATAGGAACCGCTCACTTGCATGCTTTCAATAGCTTGCTGCATTTGGATGGCCAAGGTTCAGAAGCCTATGTGGTCTTCGAAACCCGCGCAGGTCGAGACAGAGCATTGTCCACCTTGTCCCAAGGCTTCTCCTTCCGAGGCGCGCGGCTGGGCCTGGTACGCACATGTGTGTGTGTCTGGCATTGCATGTGCCACCTTGTGTTGTGGTTTTGGCCTTGTTCTAGGCTCAAAAAGACTTGAGAAACATGCAATAAAAAAGCAACACCACAAAGGATCCCAAAGGCAAATGCAAACCATACACATGCATTTATTTTGGACTTTAATTGCAATTTTTCAAGATGGGCCTTTCCTAGTGGAAGCCCACAAGAAAACAACATAAGTTCAACCACTGGGGTGCAAATTTGCTCAGACAGGCTCGGGGTTAGGATAATCAAACCATCGTAGCGACCCCACTGATTTCCCGTGGGCCAGTGTCATGCTGGGAGGCCATCACGTGAGTATGGCAGTGCGGTGGCCCAGCGATGGTTTCGTGATGAGTTCCGCCACGATTTACACATGGGAAGTGCAAGCTGCCAGGGTTTGCGAGTATTGTCTACGCAGGATGAGAGTCCAGTCACCTCTGGCGCTCACTAAGGGAAGTCTATTCTGACCGGAACCACTCCAGTTGTCACCTTCAGTCCCCGATGAATGATGTGTTACTGTACTCTAAACGCCATCCTGCACAAACCATGACATCAGGGTTTCTTCCCTCAACAGTTTGCGGTGCTCCAGTGCTCCAGAGGTCGTATCGGTGGAACACCGTACGACCGAGGCTGCTCGCCACGAGCCCCGCAGCATTCACTGGTGGCATGGCTCAACGGGGCAGGTGACTCCGTGATGCAAAACCTCTTGACTAGTGATCAGTAGAGGCAGAGCCAAGGCATGGAAAGGGGACCCGTGGAAGACAACCTCACCAGGTGTGTGGACCAAGACACACAGAGAGATCAGCCACGGTCATTGCGCACAGCTAGTGTGAGATGGTCAATCGTCCCTTGTCCCCCCAATCAAATTTTCCGTTTCTACTGACATTGACTTGTGGAAGTACCACAATTATGGCCTCACTTGGACCTTCAAGAAGAGTACGGGTGTCCCAGCGCGGATTTCGCAAAAGTTTGAAAGGCTAACACTTGGAAGGCCTCGATAAGATCCTACAGAGGCTACCAAGCGTGTCTCAGAATCAAAGCTAACCGAAGGACTTCCAAGATCTTCCCAAGATTGAAGGACATCTCTCAGAACATGATGAAGCAAATGGGGCACAGCTTTTGGGCCAAAAAACACCTTGTGAGGCAGAACTACGATGGTTCCTGCCAGTCGGTGAAGTGGTGGAAGCTGCTGAAAGGCCTCAGCTCGGGAGTTCGACGGCCAGTTGTCAGGTTTTTTGCTTGGCCGAAACGAGATATTTGAGTGGGACGGGGGAAGGAGGAGGGCCGGGCCCCCCTCCTCCGTTCAGTGTAATTTGTAGTAGAACATAGTAGCACATGGTAATGAGATGTAATGAGGATGTATCGAAGAGGCTATTACAAGGGGTCAAGGCTGAACACGTGTCCCCACGGATGATCTGACATGCATGGTACCACCCGTGCCGACCGTTTACTACCCAACGCAGGTTGTTGTTGCATTCTTGCTGGACTGGTCACTTGGGCGTGCGACTTGGATGAAGTGTCGCAGATGAACAGTTGACAGCGACCTCCCAAGAAAACACCTCAGTCAGAGACAAGGACACATGCTATTTCTCAATATGTTCATAAAACCCAGGGTCCACCTGCATATTTGACTTATGCACCATCATGCACCTATCTCCGAGGGCCTTAGGTCAGGCGTGAGCCACCTATTCAGTGTCCGGTGCCAAAGTTCAGAGCAGCTTCGGAGCATAGTCCAATTATGTACAATTCATAGTTAAATTAGACGTCTAAGGTTACAGATGGTTCAGTATCTTTCCAACTCTCAGATGTTGAGAGAACGAAGGAAAACAGTTGTCTTGAGCATTATCTCAGTGTCAGCTGAGGCGTTTTTTACTTGCCGTATGCTTGGTCCATTCTCACCTTCAACTACGAGGCGACCCTGCTACTCGTAGGTCTAGAGACGTTCAGATTGGTGCCCTGTCCCTTGTGGGTGATGACCTGCCGTGTGGGTCAGATCCCCTGGCTGAGTTCCGTCCGTTCGTCGAAAGCAGAGAACCTGCAGCTGCCAAGCAGACGTCGGGTCGGACCACCTGGCTTCGCCCGCTCGCAGGGTGGTCGGCAGCCTGGCATTCTCTACAGTTTATGTTTTTCCATCGTGACTTGGTCTGAAACTAATGCGTGCGAACACTGGTGACATACTGGGAGCTCTCCCTGGTGGTGCTTTACATTGTTTGGCCAAGAAGTTCACCAAATTGACTGGCCATGAATGTTGCTGAACGATGGAAGGACGACCATGGTGCATGCTACACCAAGTGGATACCAAATATGTGTCTCTATTAAAAATAGGGAGACCTCCCAGAGACCCCTTGGAAGAAGGGAAATGTATAGACCAAAACGTTGGGGGTCTCCCTATCAAAACACCTGCAGGTGGTCGGAGATGGTCGTGTGGTCGCGCGCACGACGCTCAGATCGTGGTCATTGGCAATGTCTCAATGTACCAAATTTGTGCCACAGTGGCGGATCACGTCGGCTTCAAGTACAAAGAAACACGTGAAGCGTGTTACATGCTGCTTGGCTTCAAGTACAAAGCGGGACAGCTCGCTTTGGCACTGGATGATTCACACCTTCTGCTCTCAGCCTTTGTGGTGTAAGGATCCTTTACTTCATCTCAGTGTCGCTGAACGTTTTGCTGGACCTGGCGTCGCTTGGCCGCTGTTGCCGCTTCACAGTGTAACAAAAAGGTCATTTCCTTGGTGTCTGACAATCCCATTTCGCCGACGCCGGCGCAAACTGGTACTGCCCACCAATGAGATCCAAATGCCCCGGTGGTTGGATAGTTGAAACATGAACCAACCAAATCGAAGGAAGAACAGTAGACATGCATATCCGATTTCACCTGTTCAGACCGGTCTCTTGAGCACAGCGGCCGCCTTGGCTAACCCAACTCAAACATTCGTTCAGCCCCTCCGACAACGCCACAGGATGACGTACTACATGTCCTTCGCCATCATGGTGCATTTGGGTTTCCGTACCCACGAGGGCGTCCCCTTGACGAAGCTGCCCTACTTTGTGCAGCGCTTCGAGGCTGGTCTTCGTAGCGGAGGTATGATCTTCTACTCTTCGGCGACGTGGGTGGCTGTGCTCGTAAATTCAGCAGATTGAACAGGTGTGCACAAGGAAGGCATTAACTAACTTCATTTAACTTTTAGGCATCGTTCAGTCCATCCGAGATGAGAGAGCGAGATGAAAGTTGCGTCGCTTGTGGCACACGTTATGGAGGCCTATGCCATACAGAGGGCAATGGGTCAGAACCTGCTGCTAGACTAAACTCGGGAGTCAACGAGCATGTTGGGCCATATGGAGAGCCATGAGATGTCATGAGCCTACTAGTCTACCATAGTCTACCCTTATGCTGCATGCGTCTTGCTTGGCCAATGTAGTACGATATGACCATAGTAGAGCTTCGTGCTACTCTCCAAGTGCCAGTTTTTGGCATCAGATCATCGGATGATCATCCCAAGGTACGAGTATGCGTTTCCATCAACCTTTTTGCTCCCATTCTTGGGCGAGCCAGCCGTGGCCGTGGGTGTTGGCACCTCAGGGAGCGTTGTCAACGGTGGTCCCGAAGACCGTCAGCCGAGGGCCTCTTGCGGCTGGGCATGCTCTTGGTGCGGTCACATCCGGAAATGACGCTGGCTTGCAAGCGAAGTGAAGACCTGTCCCCAAGTGTTGACCCTTCACCTGGCAGCCCGTGAAACAACGACTCATCGCACATCGCCGCTGCCCTGAGGGAGAAGCATAGAAACCCCTTATAGAGTTCCGACCGGAGAATCTGCACATGTGGCACTTGCTGACCTAGGGGCCGCCGCGCTACCATGTCCCTGCTGGCAGCGCAAGACTTCGAATTCGGTCGCTATGCTGACACCTTGCTCAATGTGGCTCTGGCCGTGGGTTCCCCAGACTCTGACTACTTTGATTTCTTTCTGCTCATTTCTACGAATCCAAATGGAGTCTACGCAGTGTTTTATGGCTGTTTCGACCGCTTTCACCATTAGCACGCGCGTTTCAAAGAATGTAAATCGTGCATCTTGCGTTTTCAGGTGGGCATGTTCTTTTTCCCAGGCCTGGCTTTAGAGGGCTTCCGTGGCTCATGACTCATGGCTCAATCATCATCCAACATGACACACGAGCCCAGCTGCCCGCTGAAAGTTCAAAGACCGGCAGGTGGCTACACCCACTGGATCTTTTTCATGCTGGCCATCTCCCAGGCATGAAAAACAACGCCCAATGTCTCACATGGCAAGGAGACTTGTCAGGTTGGAATGATGAAATTACCGTGTTTGGAAAGGTAATTGGTCAAAACGAGAAACAAGAGCACCCGTTCCCCCCAAAAATGATGTTCTCCACAATGCATGAGACCCCAAGAATTGCCAGTTCCAAAGTATCACTTTAGACCCCACGCTATCGCATGCTTCTGTGCCCGAAGGCCAAGAAGATGGTGTAATGGTTTCTATGTTGACCCATTTAGTGCGACGCGATCAAGTGGTCTCTAGGTGATAACACCACGGCCAGTTCAGTGAGTGGAGGTTAACCCATATAGTTTGCTCAAGGACACATCTACTGCGCCTTATCCGTCTGTACACCCACAGACGGCACGCAGTGCCGCTTCTTGGCTCGAAGATGGGCAAAGATGACGCGCGCGAGTCGCCCAGGCCGAGTGTTCGCCCAGTGGGTCCGAGAAGTGCCGAGTGCACCAGAAATCATCGGAATCACTTAAAAGAAAGGCAAATGTCAGAGGGATTACGGGATACCCGGCAAATACTACGTTAAGAGACATTTGATATTCCAGTACGTTATTGCACATCTAAGATCGTCTAAGCATTAGATTCGCTTGATGTTCTGGACAGACGGGCTTCAGCAACTGAAGAACCGAGATAGGACGGTCAAGTTTTGGAGCGAGTGTGTACAGGCATTAAATAAATGTGTTTCAACATGAGTTTGTCACAGCCCTTGCTTGAACCCCTTGAATTGGCCACCTGTTTTGTACATCAAACTACTGCATGGCTTGTGAAATAGCTCGAGTCGAGTCGGTGTTCGTCACTGGTCAGGTCCTTCCGGCCCTGAGTTGCTGGCACTCCAGCACACCGCAACAGAGGAGGAGGTGCAGCAGGCCATAGTCCGAGTCCCTTCGGAGGGTTCACCAAGTCACGGTTTTGGAGATAGGCCATGTGAGTTCACCCTCCCAATGTCGAAGAGTGGTTGTTAAAGACCCTTTTTACAGTACAATTTGGGGTGCCAAGTTTGAAGCGCCATGTTGCCAGGACTGAATTTCTAAAGGCCAATGGGGTTGCTCTTTTGTTGGCAGAGCTTTGAAGCAATTGAATTGGAGTGGAAGAATGGAATACCGAATGCCATGATGGGGTGATGCAGAGCCTTAGTTGAGGGATAAGTGCATGGAACACCGCACGGCAGCACGTATTGTGTTTGATGGATGCAGAGGAGCCGCTCCAGTGTACATGCTAGGTGTACTCTTGATTCATCCAGGGGCCCCTTAGTAGCCACAGTACCTGAAATGGGAGCCGCGTAACAAGGGCATTCACAGTGTGTTGTCAGATTTGTTGTTCATAAAAGATTGATTTTACAACCTTTTCGGCACATGGCCTTGCGAACCACAGGCGCTTCTTCCATTTGCAGCCCAGTGGCGAACGAATCCAAGGCACTGAAAAAATCTGCGAAGAACTCAACTGGTCTCCTTTGGGCAGTTCACAGTTGACTTCAGCATGGACTTCTTGGCTTCAGTTTTGGCCTTTCTTCAATGTAAGTATCCTCTCCATCTCCGTCTTCCTTGTCAAAAATCACACCAGGCCAATCAGCATAGATTGGCAGATCAGTGGAACCAGCCCTCCCCATTTTGGGCAATTCAATTTGGCCAGGCATGGCACAGCTGTCCTGAGTCAACTTGCGCGGCAACGCGAAGCACAGCGAGCATGGCAGGCTGATGCGTGAGGGGATGAGGGGAATGAAGGAATGCGTACAGAGCAATGGGATTGGTTGTGGTGATGTTATGTGATCCCATGTGCTCCAAGTCAAGATTATGCACAACATGGCCTAATGAGAACCACAAGAGCACTTCTCATGACATCTCACAACAAGTGAGGGTGAATGGATGCGACCAAGGAGTTCCGATTTTGAAAGGCAAATATCTTGGTTGGTTTGTGGGGCCCGAAGAGCATTACAAGAAGCTACTAGGAACAAGTGGCATCGCTACTAGTAGCATCTCAGGTCAAGAAGTACAGCAAGATTTTGCAAGGTGTAGCTGCTCAAGCATTGGCAAGCAAGTTGTACATAGTTGCACCATTCGGGACAGCGTGCAATGCCAAATCCTTTCGACATTGAGTTCACGCACGAACCTGGCAAGGCCTTCAAGAATGGGCAGCAGGTGGAGCACGTGGCACGCAAATTGGCAGATGGCAGGGTGAGTGTGCACGACTTCCCCGCCATTCGAGTCTACCGCTCCGGCGGAGTATTCCCTGGACAACCGGCGATTGAAGGCCTTCAGGGATGCAGGGTTGACGGACATTCCAGTCGAGTATGTGAAGGTCCCGAGCAAGAACTACTACAAGCACCACAGCAACTGAGGTGGTATGCAGCAGTAGAAGTAGTAGCCCAGAGCAGCACGCCCATTGCCCAGAGCAGCAGTATGCAGTGGGCTCAACACAGGGCGGAAAAAGTCTGGAGCGAGATTCTTCGCTGATTTGCAGATGGAAATATATTACTGTATACTTCTGGGCAACCCAAGTGAAGGATATCATTAATGTCATTATAAACTATACATTATACGGGTGTTGGTGGGCCGTGGGCGGGCCATGCGTGAAGCTTGCGCTGCTTAGACAAAATGGTTGACGTTTAGTAACAAGTGCCACGCTAGTAGTAACAGGTGCCTTACTAGTAGTAACAAAGAAGCTATTAGAATTAATTTAAAGTAATTTTTTTGTTACTACTAGTAAGGCACTTGTTACTACTAGCGTGGCACTTGTAGGATCGTTTAGGGAACGTATGGGAACGTCCCCCAGCAGTTTTTGCCTATCGCTACTAGGTTGGAGGCCATCGCTATTAGGGTGGAGGCCATCGCTACTGGTTTTCCTTGAAGTTGTTGTATGCTGGGAACATCCGGAAACAACTATTCCAGGCACACATGGAAAGCTGTAACCTGCCGGAGACTCGTCGTAGACGCAGAGAACTGCCTTTCTTCGGAGCTGTTCATCCTTTCGAGGAAAAGAACTTCACTACATCAAGACAGCCCATGACCCGGACCCCTTCCTCCTCCCAGCGGGGTCACATGCGAATCATTCGCAGGTGCTAAAGGCAATGGAGCAGATACACCTGGAGCTGAACGTTTTCCACTGTAGCGCTGTGGTCTCTGCCTTTGAGAAGGCATGCGCAGGGTATGGCCATAGACCATGAGGTTGTCGGGAACCGAGGGGGGGATCGGATGCAGTTCGAGGTGCTTTGATAGTGGTTGCTAGTGTGAGCTTGGGCCTGTAGTTGTCCAATGCGAGGTGAGCCAGTGGCAAGCTGCTTTGGGCATGCCTTCCAGCTGCACCAAGATGGAAATCATCGGGCTGGTTTCAATCATATATTTCTTGCTAGACTTTGAAGACTTGCACATTCAACGTCCCATGAACAAGTTTGTAGGTCAAAACTGTCCAGACGCCAAGTTTGTCGTAACATGTCAGAGACGTGGTCAAACGCTCAGTTCATGCCTTGTCCGTGCTCAGCTCGCGTGGCAGGAACTGCATTTTCTGCATTGTCCGCTGTTATTTTCTCGAGATCTATGGCCATAGCCAGGGTGAATCCAGCTCCTTTGCTTGGAATGACGGGTCCACGGCCTTCCCTGTGGGCCGTGCATGGCGCCCTGATCTTAGCGCAGGTGATGTTTGGAGGCGGCGCAGTGGTGGGGAGATTGGGCGTGGAGTCTTTCAATCCATTGCTCTTTGCCCTGATACGTGACTTTCGTTTGGTTGAGCAGATGATTTATGATGATTCTTGTTTTTTTCTTTTGCCTCGACCCCTCTGAAAGGAACATTTGCCCAAAGGCCTTTGTATCGCAATCCAAGGTGAATGTATCGCTGGGCCATTGCTCTTGCTCATGGCGCTCACTCACGATGGCCGATTACGGCCAAAGCTCAAGAAAGATTGGGGCTTGATAGTCATCATGGGGTTTTGCATCTTTGCCAACCAGGCCTTCATGATTATTGGTGTTAAACTGGCAGGGGCCATCATCAGCAGCGCTTGGCAATGTTCGCAACCCATTTTCACTTTGTTGATCAGCCTTTCCCTTGGCTGGGAGCCGGCCACGTGTGGCAAGATCATGGGGATTCTGCTGTCCTTTCTTGGTGGTGCATTCTTAGTGTGTTATGGGCAAAGCGTGGGAAGTCCTGCTGCCATTGGGAACCTGCTCTTGGCACTCAATTGCCTTGGCACCTCCCTCTACGTTATTTTTTCCAAGCTTGCGCTGGAGCGCTATCCTCCTTTGACTGTTACTGCTTGGGCGTACTTGTCTGCTAGCATCATGATGGCCATTGTTGCAGGCAGCCTCAACAATCAGTGTGCCTTCATACAGTTTGTTTGCCCGCCCACCGGCGATGATGACTTCACTTGCGGAACCTATCAAACCTCATGTTTGCCCTGGGCTGTTCCTGCCAGTGCGGTGCTTCCATTGGTATACTGGGTTCTCTTCAACAGCATAGGTGCATATTGCTTGATCACTTGGGCCAATCGCTATGCACGAGCTGGCTACGTCCTGGCATATACAGCGCTCCAGCCATTCACTAGCACTGTTCTCAGTGTGTGCTTGATCCTATTGGGTGTGAAGGGGTTGCAGATGCCAGGTTGGAATGCCTTAGGCTCAATTGGCATTATCTTGGGACTATTTTTGCTAGTGCTCGATGGCAAACATCAGCATGAGGCTGATGAAGAATCACAGGCCCTTTCCATAGCAGGTGATGCTGCTGATGCACCTGAGAGTCGGGAATGTACTCGTAGCCACTCAGCCTAGCTGACGCATCAAAAAAGTTGCGCTTTCGCGCTCCCGCCTGGTTTTTTCAAAACGGTTAAGACGAAACCAAAGTTTGTGAGTTTGTTTGCTTCTAGGTGGAAGAATTGTGCCAGGGCGCATGTTCATTTTGGAGGCTGCCAGTAGCCACCCTTTTGAAAAGAAAGTTAGCCAGCGAATGATATCATGCAGTGGTCTGAAAGTCTGAACGTCCAAAAGTAGTTCTGGGGACATGACCCAAGCGCATGTTTGTTCACATGGCGTATATAGAGAGAGAAGGGACTGCTTTCGACGAACTTCCCGGATGAAGTAAAAGCGACTTTTTGGGGCACCAGTAGCAAGTAGCTAGGAGCAAGGCACCTTACTACTAGTAACAAGAAGCTACTAGGTGGAGGCCATCGCTATTAGGTTGGAGGCCATCACTACCAGCAAGAAGCTACTAGCAGCTACTAGCATGTCTTTCGACTTGGCTGCTCCCGTCTCAAGCTCTTCAGCCTTCAAACGGCCGAGTGAAGAGGTGATGTCCCGGCCGTCCTTATGGGCGGTGCATGGTGCCTTAATCCTGGCGCAGGTGCGGCTTGTAAGAATGCTCCGTTCGTAGCGATGCCCTTTGTACCTAGTAGCGTCCTTGTTCCTAGTAGTAAGGCCAGGAGCCCCTAGTAGCGTCCTTGTTCCTAGTAGTAAGGCCAGGAGCCCCTAGTAGCGTCCTTGTTCCTAGTAGTAAGGCCAGGAGCCCCTAGTAGCGTCCTTGCTCCTAGTAGCGATGCCCTTGCTCCTAGTAGCTTCTTGCTACTTGTAGTAAGAATGCTCCTAGTGGCGATGCCAGGAGCCCCTGCTCCTAGGAGTATGGCCAGGAGCCCTAGTAGCTCTTGTTACTAGTAGAAAGAATGCTCCTAGTAGGCATGGTTCATGTGGGCAGATTTGTTCAATCCAAGGCTAGGCTAGGTCCTTTGGAACATTAATTAGGTGGCCCAGAATACTAAGATCCCACGATTCCTGGGGAATCCCACCTCCCTTGTCCAAGCAGGAAGATACTGCCATTTGGGATTTGGTGCAAGTTGGACACTCCGAAGGTCCACAAGACAGTAAGTTCTTGAGCCTACACCTTTTTCCTTTGCATGTTCGCTTCTAGTCCAAGTAGTTTATGGTTTGCAGACTTGCCAGCCCAAAGACGTTCTGCCATGTGAGGTGATATTCGGAGGAGCTGCAGTGGTGGGGAAATTGGGTGTGGAGTCCTTCAACCCATTGCTCTTCTCGTTGATTCGTGAGTGTATCGCTGGGCCTTTGCTTCTGTTGATGGCAGTGAGTTATGATGGCCGATTGCAGCCCAAGCTTGGAAAGGATTGGGGCTTGATAGTCATCATGGGCGGCTGCATCTTTTCCAGCCAAGCCTTCATGATTATTGGTGTTAAACTGGCAGGGGCCATCATCGGCAGCGCTTGGCAATGCTCACAGCCCATCTTCACCTTGGCCATCAGCCTTTCCCTTGGCTGGGAGCCGGCCACGTGTGGCAAGATCATGGGGATTCTGCTGTCCTTTCTTGGTGGTGCATTCTTAGTGTGTTATGGGCAAAGCTTGGGCAGTCCTGCTGCCATTGGGAACCTGCTCTTGGCACTCAATTGCCTTGGCACCCCCCTCTACGTGATCTTTTCTAAGCTTTTGCTGGAGCGCTATCCTCCTTTGACTGTTACTGCTTGGGCGTACTTGTCTGCTAGCATCATGATGGCCATTGTTGCAGGCAGCCTCAACAATCAGTGTGCCTTCATTCAGTTTGTTTGCCCGCCCACCGGTGATGATGACTTCACTTGCGGAACCTATCAAACCTCATGTTTGCCCTGGGCTGTTCCTGCCAGTGCGGTGCTTCCATTGGTATACTGGGTTCTCTTCACAAGTTTAGGATCGTATAGCTTGATCACTTGGGCCAATCGCTATGCACGAGCTGGCTACGTCCTGGCATATACAGCGCTCCAGCCATTGACTAGCAGTGTTCTCAGTGTGTGCTTGATCCTTTTGAGGGTTGAGGGGTTGCAGATGCCAGGTTGGAATGCCTTAGGCTCGATTGGCATTCTCTTGGGACTATTTTTGCTAGTGCTCGATGGCAAACATCAGCATGAGGCTGATGAAGAATCACAGGCCCTTTCCATAGCAGGTGATGCTGCTGATGCACCTGAGAGTCGAGAATGTACTCGTAGCCACTCAGCCTAGCTGACGCATGAAAAAAACAATTGCCTCAAGATGCATGTGCTACAGGTCCAACAGGCATGTACACACTCCAGCCCACATGGAAGTGCGATTGTGGGCCCAGGGATGGCCATTTCCCTTTTTAAAGGACGAGAGGAGGCCTTCCACTTCCATGTTTGTACCTTCAGATGTGGCGGCAAAGCTGGCGTGTGAAGGAACAATGTTCCAAAGGCGTCCTTGTAAGGACTTGTTTGACACCAGATGTGTGGTATGATTGTATGATTCATGTCCATTCCGGAGCATTGTATTTGTGGCAGTTCATGCTCACTTCCCAACCCCCAAAAACTGATTTACTTCGAGTGGTCCCCACCATGGCATTTCAATCTGACAAATTGTCTGGCATGTTTTGACACATTATTTCGGCATTCTTGCTGGCATATTTTCTGACATTTACTGTATTCTGGCATAACTTCTGACATTCTTTCTGACCTTATTTCCGGCATATCGTCTGGCATTCTTTCTGGCATCTCTTCCGGCATGCTTTCTGGCATATTTTCTGACATGCTTCTGGCATATCTTCTGACATTCTTTCCTTGACAGGTCTTCTGGCACTCTTTCTGGCGTTTTATCTGGCAGATCTTCTGACTCGCGGTTGGGGTCCGCTGGGGAACACTGCCAGCCGAAGCTCACGGTTGAGGTCCGGCGGGGAACGCTGCCGAGCGAAACTCGTGGTTGAGGTCCGGCTGAGGTCTGGCAGGGAACACTGCCATCCGGAGCTGACGGTTGAAGGCCGGCGGGAAACGTTCCCAGCGTGAGCTGCCGCGGAAACACTGCCATTCCAGAGCTGGCGGCGGGGAACACTGCCATCCAGCATTCGCAGTTGAGGAGGCCGACAACCAGGAGGACGAGGAGGAGGAGAGGAGGAGCAAAGCAGCTGACACAAAATCTCAAAGCCCTCACCTGACAGGTGGGGAAAAGTACCCTGGGGACATGATCCAAGATGCTACGACGTTTCACGGACTACGTTTACCGCCTTTTTGCTCTTAGGTTGGAGGCCATCGCTATTGGGCTAAGTGAGGATAGAAAAACATTCAGAACTTGTGCTTGGACACCCTATCTTCACCGCTACCATGTGCGACCTTTTGGCTGTTCTCATCTCAAGCTGTTCAACGTTCAACAGCTTATGGCCTAGTGATTCTCAGGTGCCTGGTGGGCCGACCGTCCCTACGGGCAGTGTACCGGCGCTTGTGTTACAGACTCACTCTTCTGTTTCCGTGGCAAAAACCCCGCGGTGACCGCAATGGGACTCAGATCGGGCATTTTTCCGGATCGCAAAGCGATCGACGTGCATCGCATCCACGGACTGCCGACGCCACGGACGTGCTCGCGGACCGCTTTTGGGTGGTTTGTCGTGACAGTGACTAGTCTTGCCGCTGAGTGGCTAGCAGATGCTAGAAGATCAGGTGACCCCGTAGTGCAAACTGCAATCACATCGACAGAAATTGCATAGAATACCGGGCCGTGCCCCGCTACATGTTGCGATCTTCCCATCAGCAGCGCAAGTAGGGAGATATAATATCCAATGTTTATCTTCCCAGAATGTTCTTTCTGAGCCAGGATCAACATCGTTTCCATGGACGTCAACAACTTGGCGCTGCATGATTTTTGCATGTGTTTTGAGTTTTGAAACCAGGCGAAGGGTCACAAACCCCCATTTTCCCTGTTGAGCGTTTCGCGGTGCACCGCCTTAAGTATGCCAGAAAGATCCTTGGAGAGGTGTTATTTGGAAGCATCGCAGTGGTGAGGATATTGTGTGTGGAACCTTCAGCCCTTTGTATTTTTCTTTGATTTGCCAGTGTATTGCTGATGACGCTGAACTATGATGGCCGATTGCAGCCCCAGCTTGGGAAGGCTAGATGCAGTATACAATTCCTTTGGGGTTGTTGCATGTTTGCCAACCGTGCCTATTATCATTTGGATGAAGTTATTTGGCACCATCATCGGCATCGCTTGACGATGCTCACAGCCCATCTTCACCTTGGCCATCAGCCTTTCCCTTGGCTGGGAGCCAGCCACGTGTGGCAAGATCATGGGGATTCTGCTGTCCTTTCTTGGTGGTACATTCCTAGTGTGTTATGGGCAAAGCTTGGGAAGTCCTGCTGCCATTGGGAACCTGCTCTTGGCACTCAATTGCCTTGGCACCTCCCTCTACGTGATCTCTTCCAAGCTTTTGCTGGAGCGCTATCCTCCTTTGACTGTCACTGCTTGGGCGTACTTGTTTGCTAGCATCATGATGGCCATCGTTGCAGGCAGCCTCAATCAGCGTGCCTTCATGCAGTTTCCGTGTTTAGTTTACATTTAAAAATCCATTTCTGGAGACTATGGCACTTCCTGTTTTTTGCGGCGGGCTGTTCCTACTAGCGCAGTGCTTCCGCTGATGAATGTCGGATGTTTCCTGCACTAGCTGCATCATGGCCCTTGGCTAGATTACATGAGCAAGTGGCTACGCACCTGCCGGCAACATTCTTGCAAAACCAGCGCTCCGGCCACGGACTAGCACTGTTCTCAGTGAGTCCCAGCCAAGAAAAGTGATAGAGTCTAAGACCCTCCAAGCTAGAGTCTGTGGCCCCTTCACTTCTAGAATGGCCAAAAAATATTATGTCTCTCCGCGCTAGCATTGCAAGGGCTGCGGGTTCTCTTAGGCTCCATCATATCAGCACGACACCAGAGACAAGCTCTGTGTAGTCGGCATGAGTGAAAAAGAGCATGCAACCGGATAACCGGATGTGACGAAGCAAGACCGAGCCGTGCAAGAACAGTTTTCAATGGATCTCAAGGGCAGTTTCACATTCCGTCGCGTGCGCAACTTGTGCGGAACGATGCTCCTCCCCTTTTAAAACGGCTGTTCCGCGTGGGCCGGCGATCATGACCAAATCGGAAAGCACCGCTCTCAGGTTGCACAGCATGGCAGGGAGGATTTTGCCGAACAGTTTTACATACAATTCTGCCATCAGCGCATGTGAAAAGTGTGCTGAATGGGAGCATGCATTAAGCCTTCTTCAATTGATGGCTCCTTGGATGAGGAAACATTAGACGGCTCCAGGATGCAAGGAGTCCAAGCCATAATTGTACAATGGGCCATCACTTGGAACAGTTTCCTCCACCAAGCGTTGAAGGGTGTTCAAGGGTGTCCAAGTGCAAACATCTTTGCCATGAACCAATGAACCTTGAGATGTGTGGAGTGGAGTGATGTGGAGTGCGTCACCCAAGGTGCGGCAGGACTTGTGCGACGTGATTAGCTACAACTCCTCGATCAGCGCATGTGAGAAGGCCACCACACGGGAGGAACATGGAGGTACATGATGGGGTCAGATAGATAGCAACTGTGAGGCACTCAGGACTTCCGGATGGCATTTCGGGCCGACTCCTGAGAGGGACACCCACATACATACACACACACACACCCCAAAAAAACATACCGAGGGTATATTCATCACATGCTTGTCACCATGTTTGCGAGAGGGGTCCCACATGTTTCAATCTGACGCCTTGCCAGGCGGCGCGTTGGGTAGAATCGCTGCTTTTATTCCAAGATGCTCGCTAAAAAACAGATCGGAGGCAAGAGCCGGAGATGTTTCGTCATGGGCCAGTCAAGTCGATGGTGTTCTTCTACTCTTGGGACTCAGGACCCTACGTAGTATAGATACATTTGGTATATTCCTCCATATCATCCCGCTGCTTTTCAGTGGCCCCCCCCAATTGGAGGACTCAGCTATGTACAATATCAGATCTGTCAGATCCTGCTGGCAATTCACTGAGGCCTTGCCGTTCAAGGAAGAATTATGAAGAAAACATATGCACCACCTGAGGTCAACAAAAGCTCCATATTATTCCGAATTATTCCATGAATTCAGAGTGGCATTTGCAAACAAGATCTATTCCAGGCGGCATGCGGCACGTTGCAGTATTTGAGCCAATATCGCAACGGGATCACATGTATCTAGTGCTGACATTTCTTGAACCTTGCCAGCTAAGGACATGGCCAAGATGGCGTTGGTTCCTGACGTAATTAGCTTCTTGCTCCGCTCAGCGATGCTTTCCATGCGCGCAAAATCCCTCAGCTGTGTTTCAGGGATTTATTGTAGTTTTCTTTAAATCCGTCAAACGCGCGGTACACGATAGTTCTTTTGGTGACTTCAACTTGAGTTGGAAGCTAGTTGCATGTTGTTTATGGCCTTTTTGAGGGAGGTATACAAATCGACTGTGGAGGGTCAAAAGCCAAACAACTCTCCTGTCATGTAAGCATGTACATATGCATAATAATACATATATACATACACGTACATATCATCGTTTATCATGCCATGTCGAATTGACATTTCCACTGGCCAATTTCATTGGCTTTTGCTTCTCAGAGTGAGCATGAGTTCACTCCTCACAGTGCCACGCTCTTCCCCGAGGCTTCAATGCTGCAATGAGCTCTTGTGAGAAAGGCCGGAAGAGAGTCTCGTTGGTGTTTCGGGAGTTGAAAACGTATCCAGTCAATCCAGTCCATCAACCACGACAGATGGGAAGAGCCAAGAGCGAAGAGCAGTCGGAGCGAGCGGAGGGCTTTTGCTTTTTTTCGCGAGGTGGACGCTGGCAAGAGGCACTGCTGCCACCGGTCCAGAAAGTGGAATATGATTTGGGCTGCATTGAAAGTGCATGGTGCAGGTGGAATATGCAACATTGTCACGATAACTTCGTGGTAGTTGGGACAAATTCATGAGCCGGCTCAGCTTGTGGCACATACTTGTTTGCTTAGAGTGTGCAGGAGGAAGTCGTCATTTCCCTTTGACTCCTTGAGGACGTTTGAAGTGCTCTAGAGCTGAGGCTGTGGAGTCAGATGCCTTCTGGGATGGCCAATGCCGAGCCCTTGGTTCCCCCACTGCTTCATTGCCTCAGTTGGAACGGTTTTGCTGCTCTACGGGGTGCTATATGACTCTAATTGACCATTTATATATATATATACATTTGCTTTTGCAATGCTGCTCATTTGCTGTGGGCCAGCGAGAGACAATGCTCAGTGGTATCATGCTGTATCTCAAGCAAACTCAACTCGCATGGGTTCATTTGTGAGCATTTCAACAGTGCACTGCTGCTCCAAAACCTCCTAATGATATGGCCAAGGTTCGAACCTTCAATGCTGCCATCAGTGCTTGTGCCACAAGTGCTCAGCCAGATGTGTCCTTCCTTCTCCTGCAGCAGATGTCAGCGATGGTGTTGACACCTGACGTGACGTGCACTTCAACCGTGAGGATTCTTGCATAGTGGTGTTTTTTTTTCAAGAGGTGAGGCGGGTGGGGTCCCCCAAAAAAGTATTTTCATGACATGTTTGATTCTTTAGGTTCAGAGTCGTCGGCAGAGGCCGGAGATCTCCCCTTGTTAAGTTCAGGTGTGCACGAAACACGGGAAGGAAGTCCCCTCATCAGATCAGGTGATATCCTACAGTGCAGCAGTGCATGCCTGCGAAAAGGGCTGGCGTTGGAAAGATGCATTGCATTTGTTGAACATCATGGTCTCTAGATCGTGCCCTGGCAGGGGCAGGGCGGGCGGACTTGCACTTGATATTGTGGCATGAGAGAGAGATAGAGAGCACACTTCCCAGACAACTCAGGAAGATTTAGAGCGACCATTTCTGGTGTTCTTTCATGTCCTTTCGGTACTTTTCACCCCGTGATATGCAGCCAAAACCAACGTACCACCTGTGCTATGCAGCGATGATGGCCCGAAGCGCCATTCCAAGGACGGCCCCAAATCTCATCACCCTGAACTCAGCGATCGCTGCTTGTGACAAGGCTGGTGAATGGCAACAGGCATTGAGATTGATTCTTGGCTCAAAAAGCTTCAGAGCGAGAGAGATAGAGAGTGCTTTCCTATTTTGCAATCGAGTTCTTGTGTTGTTTTTTAGGTCTTTGCCGCTGTAAGGCATATTATATAACTTGTTTCCTCTTGTCATGCCAATGTTAATTTGCCTGCTCGCAAATTCTTCTCTGCTCCACCACAGTTGTCCTTCAGTTAAAGTAGGCACCCATTTCCCAAATCCCTTAACCCCTTTGCTGGGAGAAACACATGCCAACAATGGAGAATAAGGCTTCACTTTAATGAAAGATGACCCTAGGACCCAACAGAGCAGTTCTTTGAAAGACACCGGCAGCCCAACAGAAACAAGCCAACTGACAGGCCACACCAGAGTCCTAAGACCCCTAAGACCGGCTGCAACCGCTCTATCAGCCAAACTTGTGTGGGATCCAATGCATTCAAGTGCTCTACCTGAAACGAAGGTTGAAAGACCTCCCTGCTTGGGCGCTGCAAGCAGATCTCATCAGCTTCAACAGTGCCATCAGCGCTTGCAGCACAGGAAGTGCTTGGTCGGTGGCGCTCAGTCTTTTGGAAGGACATGCGGTCGTGGTCAGCATCGTGGTTGGGACTAGGGCCAAGGGTGGTGGAGGGAAGGCCATACTAAAAGAGCAAACTTGATTAAACCTTTGGGATATTGATGATATTTGCTTGCTATAGCTGTGGGAGTTAGAATTTGGCTTAAAGAAAACCCATGGTAACCGTTGATCTACCAACTGCAAGTTCACAGAAATATAAATGGCTCATATACAAGTGCCCCTGGCCATGATCAGGATGTGCAAGATGTGGCAAAGTGCACAATGCCATCACTTTCAACTCGGCCATGACTGCATGCCAGAGAAGTGCCATGACCACTGTGACACTGCACCTCTCCAAGTGGATGAAAAAGGCAGACTGGGCAGGTCTGCCAGGGAAGCAACATGGATCAACTCCGTTGTATACAGGAACCAGAAAATCCGGGATTGATAAACAGTCACCACAGCTACAACTCCTTTTGTACACTTGGTTCAAGGAGTATTGGAGGGCATCCCAATACTCTCACAAACTCCTTTTCTGGGCAAGGCTGCGTGGCGCTGATAGAAGTCCCGCACTACCCCCCAAAAACACATTCCTATTCCGAGGTCTGTATTTTGGGTCTGTGAAGATCCATCCGAATCTTTCATGATCGTTTGGTCCAAGTGGGAGGGCATTTGTAGCTGAGCTTGGCGCGCCATGTAAAACAGTGCAGTCGTTGCTGTGCTGTTCGCTTAGTGTTTGGTTTGGAGTGGACTTCGAGGGCCATTCCTGTCAGGAGTTGTTTTGAGGCTGCTATATCAACTCTTGTTGTTGGCAGCGGAGCCTCACGAGGCTGCCGCGGGGCATTGTCGTTTTTGGTGCAGTGCTTGTACATTGAGGTTGGCATTGCATTACATTGCATTTTGTGGTGTCGACAGGACATTGAGTTGACATTGCATTGTGATGGCTCCCAAACAGCAGTCGGGACAGACAAATGTCCATAGTGGGGTGAGCACGGCAAAGCTCGACAACTATGTTCCTGTTTTCAGCAACAACATGCAAGACTACAGAGAATTTCGCAAACGCTGTGAGATCTACAGAAAGAAGATGCAGTTGGGCAATCGCACCAATGAGGTGGTCTACAACCTGGTCACTCTGATGACTGGGAAGGCTTGGGATTTGGCCGAAGACATGACCATGGAACAAATGTCAGGTGATGATGCATATGATCTTTTGTTTACACGGCTGGACAGAGGATTTCGATTCGATCCATTGACAGAGTTGCCGGACGACTTCGAGCAGTACTTTGTGAAGCTTCAGCGAAAACCACACCAGACATTGCAAGATTACATGAATGATTACACCAGGTGTGAGAGAAGGCTGAAGGTGACCCACAATGTTGAGCTGCCGGAGAAAGTGAGAGCTTGGTGGTTCCTTCGACGGTCAGGGATCACGAAGGAGCAACGGCAGCTGATCCTAACGAATACAGGGACCACTGGACTGACGATTGAGGAGGTGATGAAGTCGATGAGCTTCATTTTGGGGCAGGACTCGACACTACAATCCTCATCGTCGACTTCAAGATGGTCAAGGCCAATGGGAAAACCAGTTGACGCGTTCTACTGTGATGAGGACACGCAGTATGATTGGCCAGCTGGATCGGAAGAGTTCGCCATTGATCCCTCGCCAACATACTTTGGTGAAGACTATGAGTGAGATGATTGGCACGAAGGTTCATCAGAGCAATTCGATGAGGTTGCATTGGCAGAGCATTGTGAGCAGGTGTATGACGTTGATGAGTATGATGATGTGCTTGCAAATTATCAAGATGCCAAAGCACAGATGAACGCCCTTCGTACATCTCGTGGCTTCTACCCCGTTGTGGCCATGTTGCCGAGTGCTTCAGGTTCACATCCCGGTGGTAAGAGCCGCAAAGGCAATTCATCGAAGTCGAAGTCAAAAGGCAAAGGAAAACCAAGTTCCAAGGGAGGCAAGTCTGGAAACCCAAAAGGTCGTGCCGCAGCGGCTATGGGATCTGGACGTCAGCTGTGTTTGAGGTGTGGCAATGCTGGACATTGGGCCAGAAATTGTCCCATGCCACCAGGATCCGACAAGAAGCGAAAGCTTGGAGACGAGCCTGAAGGTGGTGTGAACATGGTTGAGTCGGTTGAGCCTCCAGTTGATACAACATTGTCAACAGAAGCATTCAACATTGACATTGAAGAGGATGATTTTGTTGGAGACGACACAGCAGTTCAGGACGGAGGTGCAGCATCGGTGTTGGGATCAGCATGTCAGATTCGCAAATACCTTCGTTTTCTGTTGGAACAGGGCTACAACATCCACGACATCCCAATGTTTCATTGTGAGAAAGGCTTCAAGTATGGCAACAGCATGAAGGAAACCACCAACAGGTGCATGGTTCTACCCGTGTTCCTGAGCAACAGTCGCATTGATGTGTTGACTTATGTGATTCAAGGTACAGCTCCCATCTTGGTCGGACGACCGATGCTGGAGAAGTTAGGGCTCATCGTTGACTACCGGTCAAAACAGATGAAGTGGCCAGATACCGACTGGGAGGAACTTCCAACAGGTTCAAAAGGTGAGCACCTATTGCACCTTGGCAAGGACATTCGTCGATGCATTGCACAAGAACCCACCATGGTTTTGTTGCCAGAGGACGTTGAATCGCACGTTGGCGAACCTATCGAACAAGGAGCGCAGAAGTTGCTGGAGGAGGTCATGATTGCCGAAAACGCCAATCCGGCGTTGGAGCCCACGCAGACAGTCACGTCGGCTCACACACGTCGTGTGAACGACGGCGTTGAGGAGATCGAGACGGTCAAACGACTTCACGGTCACATGCTGCGAAAGTTTGAGAGACAGGCGGAGGAGGCATGTCGTCGTGAGGGCAAGATCATGCGTGTCAGTCAGACAATCAACAAGGAGACAAAGTGTCGAGTGATTTGGGAAGTTTTTGTTGGTGAAGGTCGTACAACAAAGTATCTTTCCAAGTTTCCGCATGTCGTGACCGAGGTCTTCTCCCTTCAAACAGGCTGGGATTTTCGCATCGGATCTCACCGATCCAAGTTCCTCCAAAGGCTTCGCGAAGAAGAACCAGATGAGTTACTGTTGGCACCCATGTGCAAGTTGTGGTCGCCTATTCAGGAGCTCAACATCGCGAGGTCGGAGAAGTACAAGCAAAAGCTGAGTGAAGAGAGGGAATACAACCATGATACCATCTTGACCATGTGTTCCGTTGCATACCAAGAGCAGTACAAAGCAGGTCGCAATGCAACATTGGAGCATCCTTGGTTGAGCAGAGCATGGTACACAAGGGCATTTGCTTGTCTGGAGGAGTTCAGTTATGATGCATACGTTGATCAGTGCATGTATGGTTTGAAGGTTCCAGATCATCAAGGAAAGCCCGAGCTGGCAAAGAAACCGACATGCTTCAGGACAACAAAACAGAGTCTAGCAGATGGACTCTCATGGGCTTGCGATGGATCGCACAGCCATGTTCCCATTGAAGGGAACGCTCCAGGAGGTCAGAAGCGCAGTGCATTGGCAGAGAGCTATCCAGAAGAGCTCGCAAAGCGGTTGGCATTTTTGATGCAGGAGGAGGACGAACCGGAATCCGTTCTTGCAGAGGAGGATGGAGATGTTGAGATGATCCCAGTTGAGCAACAGCCACAGCAGCTGGAAGCACAAGCAGAAGTTCCAGATGTTGAGCAAGACATCCTCAAGTACTACCGCGAAGATGCTGAAAAGGAGGTGGATTCAGTGACAAGCAATGCACAGCTTCGCACCCAAGTCGGCAAGGCAGCAATGAACTATGTGGTGAGACTTCACAAGAATCTCGGACATCCCGGGACAGATGTGTTGTGTCGAATGCTTGAGGAAGCGCAAGCTACAGACAATGTCATGACAGCAGCAAAACGATATGTGTGTCCAGAGTGCTACATCAGGCAAGGCCCTGCTGGAGTTCCCCCAGCAGCTGGACTCACTGCCCGTGTTTTTGGTGAACGTCTTCTTGCAGATACAGCTTGGATTGACACCGATGACGGCAGAGTTTGTGTCATGACATTGATGGATCAAGCAACTCGTTACATTGCCATCCGGATCATGAAAAGTGAACAATCGATTGACTTGGTAAAAGGCATTGAGCGCAGTTGGATCAAGCATTTTGCAGTTCCAAAATATTTGAGGGTTGATGAAGGCAAGGGATTCGCGGCACAATACCTCAGAGATTGGTGTTCAGAACGGCACATTGTTCTTGAGATTGCCCCTGCAGAGAGTCACAACTGGATTGGCTCCATTGAGAGGAAGCATCAGGTTGTTCGTCGTTGTTTGGAGATTTACATGCAGGAGCGAGGCCGCAGAGACAAGAAAACACTGTCAGAAGCAGCAACATACTGTCCAGGTCAGATCAACTCGTTGAGCTATACCAGAGGATTCACACCAGCACAGTGGGTTCTCGGACGGTCGGCTGCAGATACATACAGTTTGACATCAGCAGTGTTAAATCCCAACTTGTCTCCCATGAACGATCCCCTCGACTTTGACCAGATTCAGGCAAAACGTCTAGCTGCACAGATGGCTTTCTTGAAGGCAGACTCTGATGCAAGGCTTCGTCGAGCAATGCAACAGAACTTCAAGAGGACAAAGCATCACATTGTTGTTGGACAGATGTGCTACTACTGGCGCATTCAGAAAATTCAGAGGTCAGGCATCTTGCAGAAGAACAAGTGTGGCGAGGACCAGCTCGCTGCGTGGCTGAGGAGAAAGATGATGAAGGAAAGCAGTTAGTGTTGTGGCTTTGTCATGGCACATCACTCCTCAGGTGTTCACCTCACCAAGTCCGTCCATTGGTGAAGGATGCTGGACTTCACAAGCCCGTTGACACCCATGCGGCGCTTGAAGATTTGAAATCACTACGAGCCAGGAGCACCACCCAGTTCAAAGATGTGATGCAGAAGCCCGAACATGAGATCGAGGACCTCATGAATGATGATGAGAATGAAGAGTATGAACCCACAGAACCTCCATCAGGAGATGAAGGTGATCAAGCAGTCCCAGACTCAGAGATGCCTGGTGCAGTGTTGATGTATTAGCGTGGTCGCAACGATGGGACAACAGACAGACCAATGTCGACAGGTTCACCTTCCACAGATGTTCCTGAGTGCCCGCCTTCAGTTGTTGGTGATGAACACAAAAGGGAGGCGGAAGATGACATCTCAGAATTGGCCTTGAAGCGTGCTAGAAATGCAATCAGCATTCCAGTCCCTGACAGTGATGAAGACCTTTTCATTGACGATGCCTACATCGTTGAGATGGAGAGTGGTGCACTACCCAAGGGCTGGCGACTCATTGGTGGATTTTTTTGGTTGGATGAAATGTTTCTTGCAGAGGTGAGTGAGAAACGCATGACGCTGGCTGAAAAAGAAGAGATGATCAAAGCAAAGCAACAGGAGCTTCGACAGTACTTTGACAACAAAGTGTGGGAATTTGCAGAGTTGGGACAGCATCAACGCAGCAGGTTGATTTCTGCTCGATGGGTGCTTGTGTGGAAGCCCCCAAAAGAAGGTGAGTTCCAACGCAGGGCAAAAGCACGCCTCGTTCTCAGAGGGTATGAAGATCCAGATTACCTCAACCTGGAGAAGGCTTCACCTACAGCAAACAAGACCTCAAAGATGATCCTCCTAGGGACAATCTTTCGTGGTGATGTTCGAGCCGCGCTCCTCAGTGGTGCAACATTTGATCGTGAGATCATTGTCAAGTTGCCGGCAGATTGTTCAGCAATGCTTGGAGCAAAGGGGCCCACGTTCATGAGGATGCGCAAGTCGGCTTACGGTTTGTGTGATGCTCCACTGTTGCGGTGGAGAGAGGCTGACCAGAGGTTGAGGCAGTTGGGGCTCAAGAGACACAGATTGTGCAAGTGCACCTGTATGATGTACAACTCAGCAACAGCATTGGTTGGGTTGATCATTTTGCACGTTGATGATTTGTTGTTGAGCGTCAACATGAGAGACAAAGAAGCAGTGCAAATTCTACAGGGGGTCAAGTCCGCTTTCGATTTTGGCAAGTGGCAAGAGCTGAAAGAAAAGGAGGACATTATTTACTGTGGAGGACGCATTGCAAAGAAAGGCGAAACAGTGAGTCTTGATTTCGAAGGCTACATGAAGAAGGTCATGCCCGTCACCATACAGAAGGGTAGGAACCAACAAGATGACCTCACACCATCCGAGGTGTCAAAGGCACGAGCTCTCATCGGTGCCTTGCAGTGGCCGGCAGGCCAAGGATGTCCCTACCTGAGTGCATCGACTTCGCTGACAGCATCCAGCATCAACAAAGCCAAGGTTGAGCTCCTCACAGAGTTGAACAAAGCATTACGTTTTGGCAAGCAAGCATCGGATTTCAAGCTCAACATGACAGCAGTGTGCAATGGTCTTGATGACCTATGTCTGTTGTGTTTTTCAGATGCAGCTTTCAATGTGAGAAGCGATGGCAGTTCACAAGGTGGATATGTTGTGGTGTTGACTTCGAAGAAAGCATTGAAGGGTGAGCATGTTCCTTACAGTTTGATTAGCTGGCGGTCATTCAAGCTCACACGTGTCTGCAGGTCAAGCTTGAGTGCAGAGAGTCAAGCATGTGCAGCAGCAATGGATGAGTTGATGATGGTCAAGTCGATGATAGCATTGATGGTCGAACCAGACCTTGATCCACGAGCAGAGTCCACGGCCGCAGACTGTGGAAGTTCAGCGATCATCATCGATGCCAAGGCCTTGTACGACAGTTTGAAGAAAGATGGCATTGGAAGTTCAGCTGACAAACGAGCTGGAATCGAAATCCTTTGCATCAAAGAGGAGATCCACCGTCTCAAGACGGAACTCCGTTGGGTCAGTAGCGAAAGGATGCTGGCAGACGGGTTGACAAAGTTGCACACCCGACAACAGATGGTTGAGATGCTTCGCAGTGGGTGGCTGAGCATTGTCCACGACAGCAGCTACACAGCAGCAAAGAAGAAGGACAAGGAAGCACGTCAAGAATCTACTGCTCGGACCTTTGGATACACAAACAATGTTGCAGCACGCATTTCCATGGTTGTTGCAGCAAGCAGTGCACCAGCGGTTGGAGCAATGAATGAAACTGAAGAGCTGAGTGATTTTGAGAACACTTGGAGTGACTTCTTTTTCAGCTACATGTTTGGCGTGACGATAGTGTCGCTGTTAGTTGGCATTCCCATGGTTGGCTATGGTGTGTACAGGTGCATGTGCAAGTTCATTTATTTTGTCCGTACATTGATTTGGCAGCAGAAGATCATTTACATGTTGCGGGCCGAAGCCCGAGAGCTGCGCAATGAAGTTGAGGAGTCTCGTGACGAGCTGCTCCGGATTCGAACACGCCTCGTAAGGATGCGTGTGGGAAGTTGCTACTACACAGAAAGTGGCACTAGATGGCATGTCTTTAATGATTGCCACAGCTTCCGGTCGAGTTCCAGAGTCCTCAACAAGGACGGCATGTGTCGAGTTTGTTGGACAAGGCTGCAGGAAGAAACAAGCGGTGAAGTTCCAACTCCACCACACGGGTGGAACGAGGACACGGATGGACAAGATGATGATGAAAATTGAATTTGGAATTCTTTGAAGCCCTTTCCTCCCCATGTGAAGATCCATCCGAATCTTTCATGATCGTTTGGTCCAAGTGGGAGGGCATTTGTAGCTGAGCTTGGCGCGCCATGTAAAACAGTGCAGTCGTTGGTGTGCTGTTCGCTTAGTGTTTGGTTTGGAGTGGACTTCGAGGGCCATTCCTGTCAGGAGTTGTTTTGAGGCTGCTATATCAACTCTTGTTGGGGTCCATTTCTACCCTGGATTTCTTCCCCACGGGCTCGCGGAGGGGTGTTTGGGAGGCATCCATCGAGCCGAACAGGGTCACCTGGGCGGTGCTGGCAGAGGCTTTGGCCTCTGACGGCGGCTGGGCAGAGGCCACGACTTTTGTAGGGGGGTTGAAGGTTGGCGAGGAGGTCCAAGGGGGTACTTCTGAAAGGATATCAAAGGTTTGTTGTGAGGAAATGTGTGATTTTCAGAACTTATAGCGATGGGAATTGGAAGTGGCTCTGGCGGAAAGCTTGGGATGAAAATCGAAGTGGAAGTTTGCTGGGTAGTACTTTGGCGTTTGGTAGTACTTTGGCCGATTCCAGGGTCATAGGAGATGCCTTTACCCTTCCAAGAACCCTCCTCGCAAAGGCCTTCTAATCTAGACTTCTCGTAGGGGCTTGGGACTCCCTGCGCAACCGCCGGCAAGTGGGAGTAGTAACTGGTATTCATGAGTCATGGAACCGTGTAGGGTCAATCATGTTGTACATGTTCAAGGCTGCAGAGCATTTACATGTCTGTTACTAGTAGCTTCTTGCTGCTAGTAGCGATGAACTTGTTGCTACTGGCGATGCCCCTGTAATGGCCTGCGACCTAATAGCGATGGCCTCCACCCTAGTAGCGATGGTCTCCAACCTAGTAGCCTCTTGCTGCTAGTAGCTTTATGCGTTGATGGTCATTGATGTGTTTGGATCAGCTGCAAGAGCTCCAGGCCATGGCCTTGTTACACTCCATGGACCAGAAGGGCTTCCCTCCCAGCGTCATATGCACCTCGGAAGCATTCAAGATTGAACAACCTGTTGATACGCACAGCCTGGCAGTGGCATGCAGTGATCTCACAGTACTAGTAGGAGTTGAATCCTTGGTGTGGTTGAAGTCCTGAGAATGTGACCCTTGGGGGCCCTTGGGGGTTGCAAACTTTTCAGAAACGCCGCGCCTTTCTGTTCCAAAAAACAGATGACCCCCAAACGGCCTACAAATCTCAAGCAGGCTCAAGCATGAATGATAAGGTCATGCCTTTAGCGTGGATGCTTGCCACAAGGCCCAGAGGGCTACGGATGTGCCAGCTTTGATGAGCATGGTGCAACCTGGAAGCAGACAGCATAGAGATGAGAATTGCTTTCCTATTGTGGCTGGCTACTGCTGGCTAGCTTGGAATGGGCCTGTTTGACAAGCATGAAGCGTCATGTTGCATCCAAGTTTGTGGTGTTTCATCACCGTGGAGACTTGAGACATGAAAGGTGCTGAAGGTCTCCAGGTGCTCCACCTCAAGGAATCAAGGATAGGGAGAATGGGACATCACATGAAACCACAATAGCTAAACCATGCTAAACCGCTTTCCACAGCAGGGGCTCCAAGAGGGCCCGATGGCAGTTTGTTCAATGATCAAGTCCACTGGTCGTTTTGAGGTCAACACTGGCTTTGCAGCTGCTCTAGGTCCTGTAGATCGTTTGGAATCAGCGGGGTTATGACCAGTCTGTGTGGGGAGTGCTAGGGGGGTCAGAAATCTTCAGAATGAGCGCTGGAACGGCAAAGAAAGCATGCTTGCTGCATGCTTCCATGAAAAGATGTCCACATGGACCCCACTATCCCAGCACAGGTGAGCACAGATAGTCAGCCCCTTTGCATGATGGCAGTCAGACTGCCCTTGGTCGAGTTGGGCTGGATCATCCAGCATTTGTTTGACACGCGTCGCTTAGAAAAGGGGTGTTGCATACGCTGTGGGCCTGCAGCTTGGGATACGCGAGGTGGTGGAAAATTCACACCTGTTACTGTACATGGACCTCAGACATCATTGTGACATCATCGACACTTTGGCGGTATGGCCTCACTCGTGGCAACCACGAGTCTTTTTATAATCGATTGATATCTATTGGATAGTTTTGATACATTTTGATCTAGACATCAACCCGACTACTGTCATATCGTGGCATCATCTCAGTGCAGACGAGGCATTCCGTCAAATGAACTATATATGTTGGCAGAGGCCTACATCTATGCCTTGGACCATTGGCGCGTGCTGCGCGTGGTCCCGGCCTCCACCTTCGCTTCCATGCAGATCGACTGGTGGTGCCAGGCCAACGACCACGTGGGTGACGTGTTGGAGCGCCAATCTTGTCGGATGGCTTCCTGAATACGTTGAAAAACTATAGAAAACCCCAAGCCTCCTGAGGAAGGAGCAGAGTTCCTTGTCAGAACCCCCACGGTGTCACCTAGTCCATTGGTTTACATTGATTGTCGACCTCATCCAATGAGCAGGCCCCTTCCTGGGGGGGGAGGGTCATGTGGCAATCCCGGAGGTTAACAACTCAAAGAAATGAACAAACTACTCGTACCTTTTGATTTGGCAACGATATGCAGGTCCTGCTTGCTCCTTGCTGCGGTTTACTAGCCGCCTGCCTTATCTTCAAGGGCAACTGCCACCTCGGCTTTTGTGCCTTGGCATCAACTCTCTCCAACACACCATTTCTATTCTGCAATTGGTTTGCCATGGCAGAGAATGTAAAGATGCAAAAGAAAGGTATTTAATTGATGTTAATTGATATATGAATAATGTTTAACATAAAGACTTATCACGTCCCAATCAGCGAGGCACAGCAGATATGTTTGAAGCATTTTTGAGTTCTCACCTCCGGACAAAGGGCTACTAGGTTGGAGGCCATCGCTAATAGGTTGGAGGCCATCGCTAGTAGGTTGGAGGCCATCGCTAGTAGGT